AAAAAATTCCGAGATCCTGCGGTTATGTGTCGGCGTATTGCAAAAATATCCGGCGATCTGGGGGGGATGCATGACCGTGCAGGTGCACGAAAAACATTTTCCCAATTTGAAATTTGGCCACTTTATATATAAATATTAGCTAAATTTTCAAGTTGGCTTCTTCATATATATAAAAAATAAAATCGGAATTTGGCCGCTAAAAATTTTTATTTGCTGTGACTAGGTTGTCCGCGCTGTATTAATAAATTTTATTTTATTAATAACATTATAAAAAATGTTATAATTCTCAATTCTAATTTTATACTCTAAATAATTTTATTTTGCATATAAAAATATATTAAATTGGCACACAAGATCCTACACTTGATTAGTTAATTATACAGTCGAGTTATTGAACCAGAAGAACAATTAGCAACACTTAAAATTTAAATTAATTTTTTTAATTAAGTAATCTAGTTCTATAACTATTGAAGTTTAAAATTATATTGCCAAATTTTTAATTGCTTTATAAAAATTCTCAGTTTTGATCGTGAAAAATCGTAAATTTATATATAAATTAAGAATTTGGCAACATGGTTTAAAATTACATTAATTCTATGCACAATTCACAAGTTATGATCCTAGATTTACTTAAGTAGGAAAAAGTTATAACGTTCTAAAAATCACAAATCAATTATATAGTGCATCGATTATTTTAATACTGCACTATGATAGTAGATCATTTGACGTGCAACGTTCCATTAATAGTTAATAAAAGGTTATTATTTTGCAATACCAATAATACTTTTTTTCCTCTCAGCTTTATATGGTACAGAATCCTTTTTAGAATGCTTGCGCAAGTTCTCTTCTTTACGGCGTTGAGATTGTAACATAATACGTTTTGTATCTTGTGCATTTTTAACAGCTTTTGGTATATGTCGGTGCCTTTAATTGAATAATAATTAGTAACAAAGATTGAAAAATAATTAGTAACAAAGATTGAAAAATAATTAGTAACAAAGTATTAAAGCGCATTTATCATAAAATTCCAAAAGAATACCTGGATATTCTTTTAATTTCTGGTAAATTTCTATAACGATCTTTGAGTTTTTCAGCATATTCCAAATGCGCACGTTCCCTGTAATCTTTCTGTAATGTTTATACAATGAATATATTTAACTATATTCATTTATGATTATTTACAAAATA